TAGAACCAGTCCCAGAGCACTGTATGGACACACCTTCACAATTACATTGCAGTCCTCTTTGTTCGTTCATTTCCCAATACAGAAGTTTCAGAAACTTCTTACCAAATCTCTCCCTTAAACACTTCAAGTACAAAGTCCCAAGTATAGGTTCATGGTTTTAATACTTGCATAGAGGGCTGTTGTCGGCAAGATCCTTAAATCCAGAGCATTTTTTATACCGTTAAGATTTGTCTCCTCTGATTTAAGTTATTTGCACTGTCTTAGAATATATATTTCTTTTATTCACACATTAATTAATAGTCAGATCACAAAAGAAAAGACTTAATTCTCGGAGGTCATAGCTTGTTCACTGACTGATTTGCAGTTGAGCTTTTTCGGTATGGGTTGCTCTTCTATATCTGGAACCCTCATTAGTTAGACATTGTTTACAACTTCAAAGTGAGGCATCATCTAGTAGTTAATATTGAAAAGCAATTTTTGTTTCTACATCTATGTAACTAGATACTGTGAACACATCATTTACTTGCCCCACACGAAAAAGTTACCAAACAGTGGTTCTCAGAAATAATTCCATATGTTCTCAACTGCTGGGAAGACAGTAAACAATAGTGCATTGTAATGGGGTATCTGGGTGTTACCACTAGAGTAAGCAGTAATAAAGGGGTGGCATTGTTGCCTTCTCTTGTTAGGTTATGATATTCTGATTACTTGTCCTCCACATTACATAATCTTTAATTATGATTGACTTCCTGATGTTCAAAATATAAATATTTAATTGCTAATACGTTTTTTACTGTTATAAATTTGTATTATGTGACTTGAATGCCTTAATTTGTTACTCTTAGGCTTGTATTTCCTTCCCTGGGGTCCTTGTTTTTCAGAATTAGCTTTAGATGTCATAAAATTTTATAAGCCTTTTGCAAACTGGAATGTCACTCTGAAGTTTTGGTTTTAATTAGCAACCACATGGTTTATGATAATCTTTTTATACTTACAAGCTGTTTTTTTTTCTTTCTACTAGGTCCCTGATTACCCTCCAAACTATATTTTATTCCTTAATAACTTACCAGAAGAGACTAATGAGATGATGTTATCCATGCTGTTTAATCAGTAAGTTTTTTTCTTAAATAAGCAAGACTAGATGAAAAAAACAAAAAGAAGAAAGACTCTAGACGAGACAAATAGCACTTTCCCGGGCTGAATTCAGTCATGCATCATACACAGTAGTTCCTAGCAGTACTATTGATTTGGTCTGGAATTAATCATGATTTAAAGCCACTCTAAAAGATTTAGCAAACAAAAGGCTACATTTCCTTTAGCTGGATTCTTTGTAGAATATTATACTTCTACTAGACTAGTATCAGAAAGTTGTTTGATAAGTATAAAGTAGACATTTATGTATTGGATGGCATCTGTCGATCTATCTGTATATTTATACATATGTCCTTTTCCTTGTTTACAGGTTTCCTGGTTTTAAGGAAGTCAGGTTGGTACCTGGAAGGCATGACATTGCTTTTGTTGAATTTGAAAATGATGGGCAGGCTGGAGCTGCCAGGGATGCTTTACAAGGGTTTAAGATCACGCCATCCCATGCCATGAAGATCACCTATGCCAAGAAGTAATATCTGGAGTAGTCTTCTTTAAAGGATGTGACTCTATTTATAACGTTGGTTTCGATAACTTTCAGTTGGGCCATTTTTGTTATTGGAATGAGAGGGGATAGTGAAATTAAAACTTGTTAGCCTCAGTGAGCTGTGAAATATGAAGGTCTTACTTTTGTACAATAAACTTTTTTTATTTTCCAAATATGTTTTGCTTTATTAGCCCTTACCCTTATCATTAAATCTTTTTCTGATCTAGAACCCAGCTTAAGGCATCGGATGGTTTTCTGTTTTTTTGTGTGACTGAGTAATTAGTTTTGTTGCAGCTAATGTTGCATTAACATTGAACCATGTTAAAGTATATTAGATTATAGATTATAGAAGCTGGTCAGTGGCTGCTATACCAGTGGTAAAATTATCATCCTGGATGTTAGAATCAAATGAGACCTGGCCAAGGTCTAAAATTGACCTTTTTATCCTAAGAGAAATGAATTGCATTCTACTAGTAATAATATTCTATTGACCTTTATGTTCAGTGCTCAATTGAACAAGATCATTTAGGATTAATGATATTAAAATGTTTAGGAAACAGAAGGAAAGAAAATGTTTCCTTCAAACTTCAAATTTTGTGACTGACTTTATTAACATTTGCTTATTTTCTCTTGAAACAGACTGTGCATAAGGATTATCTGTGTACTATTTAAGCTCTTTATCAAAAGATATCCAGGAAAGATTTTTAATTATAGTAAATATATTTTTTAATCTTTTTAAAGACAAATAGTCTGACTTTCAAAGGGCTGCCAGTGTGAATTTTTCTACCTCTTATTCTTACACATTTGGTGTTTAAATATTTCTAAAGTTCATTTTCTTTATCATTTGATTTATGTTAGAGACCATGGAGTTAGTGTCCCCTGCTAGTGGAAATGATTAAATCTTTAGAAACAGACTGTTTTCTTCAACTAAAACACAGTTTTAAATGAATGCGACTGATAATTTTTTTTAATATACCTGTTTTAATAAAGCTAAACTTTTCCTTATCACTTAGAATTTTTATTACATAATTGTGGCAAGACTACTTTTGGATTCATTATCACATCACTTTTATGCATTCATAAAGAACTGTAAGACAAGTCATTGTTTATTCCTAAGACCACCACATTCAGAAGCTGATTCTTCTGAACAACCTTTCAATTCAGTACCAGTAGAGTATTAGAAAAAGCATCATTCTCTTGGGTGTTGCAGTAGTGCCACCTGTTATTAAAATTAAGCAATTCTCTATTTTTGTCCTTACTTGGTTTCAGACCAGAAAACAACATCTCACGGATCTCTGGATGAACCCCACTGTCCCCACACCTAATGGCACTGTAGTGAGGAAGTAAAAGACCATTATGGCTGGAGTGGAATGAAAATGAGGACAGGAAAGAGTAATTGGAGGATTATGTGTGTTTTATTTTTATAAATTTCACTGAGCTATAATTCGCATCATACAATTAAGTAGTTCTGTCATATCAAGGGTTGTGCAATCATTGCTGCAATCAACTTTGGAACCTTTTCTTCCATCCTGTATTGATGTTGACTCCCGATTTCCCCCACTCTTCCCCTCCCATGCCCCCAGACAATCATCAGTCCAGCTACTGGTTTCTTAGTCCACCCATACTAGTTTCCATGTACAAATAAACCTACAAAACAAGGGCGAAGAGGTACCAAGCATCAATGATCATATAAAATAAGTAAAATCTCAGTCTAAAAGCAAAGAATATTAAAACCATTCACATTTTTTTTAAAAATTCACATTTTTTGTGAATCTCAATAAGGAGATCAAATAGAAAGATAAGACATCTAGCCTAAGTATAGCTCCTAACATGCACTCTGTCTGGTGTTAGGACTGTTCTCTTTCTTAGCCTATGTGTGCATTGGGGATTTCATCAGAGACTCAATCCACAGAGACACTCTGCAAATGAATTTTGGGTTACCATCATCTGTAACTTTACACAAAGCAGGTGTTTAGAATTCAGAAGTGCATTTGCCCCCTCCAACACAGATATAATCCCTCTTGATCTGAGATCCCAGTAAAGTTCATTAACTACTCTATAGGATTACTTGTTAATTTGAAGTGACTGTAGAACACTGATATATGATGGGAATTAGTTGGTTCCCACTCCCTATCCCCACCCCCTGTGAGAAACTATGTAGTGAGTCCACTTCTCAAGGTCATTTTCTAACAAGGAGTCTAGTGGCATAGTGGTTACAAATGGGCTGCTAACAAGGTCAGCAGTTCAAAACCACCAGCTGCTTCTCAGAAAAAAGACAAGGCTTTCTACTCCTTTAAAGAGTTACTGGCTCAAACCCACAGGGGCAGTTTTACTGCATCTTAGGGGTTTGCTAAAAGTTGGCATGACTGTGGCAGTGAATGAGAGCAAAGGGTGATAGACTAGGCGCTAAATAGGCCTGGTGCTACATTGCTTGGGGGCCCAGATTAGAAAACGACTTGGTTTGGGAACTGGAGCCTGTCTTGTCTTTTGTGCATTATAGTCGTGGACTCAGACAGGATTAGGGTCTTCTGTCATGAGGTATTTTCGTGGTTTCAACATCATGTCTTAGGTATGTGTAGTATACCATTGCGTATCTATACGCCATGGTTTCATTAACATCCTTCAACCAATGGGCATTGGGGCTGCTTTCAGCTGCTTGTTAGTGTGAACTGAGGCTGTGAACATGGGAAGCAGATGTGTGCTTGTATTCTTTTTCTTACTGGGGGATACATGCCCAGCAAAGGTATGGCTGGATTGTGTGGTATTTCTATTCCCAGTTGTTTCAGGGAGCACCATATTGTTTTCCAAACTTGTGTAAATTTACAATCCCACTGGCGATGTATGAAACCTACAATCTCTCCACACGACCTAGCATATGTTCTTTGTTTTTGTTTTGTTGTATTGGGCTATTGTTGCAGGTGTGATGTGATGCCATTGTTTTGATTTGCATCTCCCAAGTGGCTAGTGATCTTGAGCATTTTTTCATGTGTTCGTTAGCCATTTGATCCATCTTCTTGGTGGATTTTCTGTTTATGTCCTTTGCTCGCCTTTTAATTGGATTATTTGTTTTCTTGTAAAATTCTCTGTTTTAGGGATTAGTGCTGTGTCTGTTGTGCTGTTGTAAAGTTCTACCCTATCTGGTTTCTCATTTTACTCTTTTGATGAAATCTTTAATGTGTGTAAGTGTCTTATTTCTAATGTCTCAGGCATCTTTGTCTTCCACTGTCTGCTTCCTTTATTATACTCGATAGACTGTGTATGCCCTACAATAGGGCCCTTAGTTTCCTTGTTAATGACCCTTTTAGCTCTAGGGTTTACATTTAGGTCTCTAATCTATTTGAGGTCATTTTCAAGCAGGAGGTTAGCTGTGAGGCCTGTTTTATTTTCTGTAGATGTAAATCCAGTTTTCCCAGCACTAGGGGCTTTTGTTCTATTTAGGGCTTTGGGGTCCTTCTGGGCTTTTTCTTCTGCTCTATTGGACTATATGTATCTGTCATCATACTAGGCTGGTTTGACTTCTGTGTCTGTGGAATAGGTTTTGAATAGGTGAGTAGAGCAAGGCCTTTTACTTTGTTTTTGCTTTGAAATGTTCTTTGAGTCTGGGGAACAAAAAGCCTGAAGGGATGAAATTAGGTTGTTGTAGTAGGACCGTCCTCTTAAGAAAAAGCAAGTGCACTGTGATGCGAAAAATTCCCAGCACAACTTTCATGGTGTTCTTTTTTTCACCAACTTTGCGGGTTTCCATTTTCCTAAGGCTGCTTCAAAATAATCCCCCATGATTACGCTGTGTCCTTTGAAAAATATCTATCAAGAGTAAAAACAAAAAAATCACTGAGCAAGTTGATTCTAACTCATAGTACTCAACACAATAGAGTAGAACTGCTTCTGAGGGTTTCTGAGAGTTTAAATATTTGCAGGAGCAGAAAGCCACCTCTTTATCTTGCAGAGCAGTGAGTGGATTCAATTCACTGATCTTGTGTTAACCAATGCGTAACCCACCATGCCGTCAGGGCTGCTGCTATTAAGATTCTCTTGGGGATACCATGAAACTGGCTATCATGAGTTGACCTTTTTGCCTTGAATTCAACAGGTCTATCAGATGCCCTTAGAAACCACTGTATTGGTTGGATCTTGTCCTCTGGTTCCTACTAGTACATGTAAGCTGCATCCCCAGTTACCATTAATTCCACAAGATCATCCTTGTTAACTTTGAACTTGCTTAAAAAACTGGTGGAATGATTAATTAGTTCTTTGAGCTAGCTGGTCTCAAAATGTTTGGGACATGTCAAACCTAAAACTGGCTGAGGCTAAGCTGTTCAGTTAAAATTGAAAATGTGATCTATCAAATAGAGAAATGGATAGGAAAGCTGTATCTGAAGTGGCTTTTGGAGAAAGATCTGCAGGTTAAGTAAGGGTCTTTGGTTCCACCAAGCTAGAGGCTCATGGCCATACATATATGAATGGGATTATAATAAAGATGCAGATAAAAGAAAATGAACCAGAATGTTTTTAAAGAGTTATTTAGTTGTCTGAATGTATTGACTAAATAATTTTTCTCCTAACTGGTGGTGTAAAACAGTCTTAAATGTATGATGGAAACAAATATTGGGTATTATAAAAATCCATATGTAACTCTGCCTTCAGACTGGATTTGCTAAGGAGAATTAAGACTTGTTTGAATTCTACCTTACAAATCTGACTAGGTCAGAGCATGTGCACAGGTATAGATAAGAGCTGGAAACAGGGAATACAGGACAGATAAACCCCTCAGGACTAATATGGAGAGTAGCCACACCAGGAGGGTAAGGGTAAGGTGGGAAAAATGGGGGAATAGATCACAATGATCTACCTATAGCCCACTCTCAGGGGGATGGACAACTGAAAAGTGGGTAAAGGAAGACATCGGACAGTGTAAGACATAAAAAAAAAAATTTATAAATTATCAAGGGTTCATGAGGGAGGGAGAGGAAAAATGAGCTGATACCAAGGGCTCAAGTAGAAAGAAAAAGTTTTGAAAATGATGATGGCAACAAATGTACAAATGTGCTTAACACAATGGATGTATGGATTATGATAAGAGTTGTACGAGCCCCCAATAAAAGGTTTTTGTTTTTTTAAAGTCATGTTTGAAAAGAAAGAAGGCTCTATATTTTAATGCAGGAGCCCTGCAGAGTTTGGGGACTTAAACTTTAAGGCCCTCTCAGAATTTTTCCTTTAAAGACCCATAGACCCACCTAGAGCTG